CTTTCTTTCTTTCTTTCTTTCTTTCTTTCTTTCTTTCTTTCTTTCTTTCTTTCTTTCTTTCTTTCTTTCTTTCTTTCTTTCTTTCTGTTAGAATAATACTTTAGAAATAAATATGCTTTAGAAATAACTTTATTAAAAAATATTTCAGGTGAGACGGCTTGAACTGGAGAAGAACCAGCAGAAACTCTTGTTGGAAAGTCTGCAACGGCGTCACCAAGAAGACTTGGAACTTATTGAGAATGCACACAGGTAGAAATGGGGGACCTATGGCCCACTGGAGATTATTAAAGATTATTTAAGAATGTCTAGCACTACATATATAAAGTAAAAAAATATGGAGTGGGAGCCACATAGAGATTTGGAGGTAACACTTGAATACAAATACCATCCTCTCATCACTGGAAGCCCCATAAGCAGGAACTCTTGCAGTTTCTATGTTTGCAGGATTTTGTGGGCTGTTACAAGAGCTATTTTTCTAGAATCTTGATCTAATTTATAATTGAGATAGATTTTATATTATTTAGAAGAGTGCATATTCTTGTATTAGTTTGAGATTGTATTCTGTGAAGGATACTCATTTATCAAATACTCTCATTCTTAGTGTTATCCTACTCAGAGCTAAGGTTACATTAATAATTTGGATTCCTGCTTCCAAATTCTCAGGGATATCTTAGGGAATTCTGTCTGTCTCCTGTTTCTTAGGACCAGAGTTCCTTATTGAAATGATTTAAGTGTATCCTTTCATTGTAGTTCATTGCCATACCTAAGGCAGTTTACAATATTTCAAAGCAACTGGAAAACCTAACATGAAAGATTAAAAACCTACAGCATTAAGAGACAAACAGCAGCAGATAAGATGAAGCTACCCATGAAAAGTTATTTTTGTTACTATATGTATCTGCCGTTTCTAACCTGGTACCATCCTGACATCTTCAGATTCAACTCCTGAAATTTCCAGCCAGCATAAGCAAATAAATTATGCTTTAAGTACATCTGGATGATAAATTATGATAAAACATAAATGTAAACTTACGTGAGGAGCATAGTTTTCAAAATACAAGCCAGCTCCTAGATCATATTTAAATACAGACTTGATAATAGAAATAATATTCCCAGCTGCAAAAAAATAGTTTCATTCTTCCCCTCTTCCCAACCCTGCTGACTGGGGAGCTAGGAACCGTGTGAAGGTGGTTGAGGACTCATATCGTCAGCGTGAGGATCGTCTCCGGCAAGAGAATCAGGAGTTGGTTGCACAATACCTTTCTCGCTGTCAGAGCGCAGAGCAGGCAAAATCAGAGATGTTAGCCCAACATCAGCGTCGACTAACTGAACTAGAGCAAGAAAAGGCCAAGGAAATTGATCGGCTACAGGAGCTTCAGCGGTAACATTGTGGGGAGGATGATGAAAGAAAATCTCTTAGACTTTGAACTGATGGTGTTTTTCAGAAGCACAAGTCAAACATGTAAACCTGTTTTGTTTGACAAATCTGAATCTTAATCTCGACACATTTAGCCAAGCTTTATGTATATGCTCAGAGAAATTTAGGAACAGTATGTTTATTTATTCATGGTCCTTTGACTCTTGCAGTATGTCCATCCTGGAAATGCGCAAGGATCATGAAGAGCAACTACAGCGCTTGAAACAACTGAAGACTCAGGAGATTGATGCAGTGACCAGTGCCACTTCCTACACCAGGTAGCAGGTGCTAACTACCGTAAAGAATTAGTGCATTGGAACTTTTGTGCAGTAGTAAGGAGCATAGATAGTTGTATCCAATAGTCAGTGGACATTTGGTAAGTGGAAATTTCCTATTTGTCTTGGGATGGGGATGGGGAACTCTAGCTCTCCAGACGTTGTTTTACTACAGCACACGGCAGCCCAAGCCAGCATGGACTGTGGTGAGGGCTGCCGGGAGTCATCATTAAGTAAATCTGGCAGGCCACAGGTTCCCTACTCCTCCTCTGGGCCTCTGTAAAAATCAAGTAGAAAATTCTGAGGGTTTTTGCAAAACAACAAACAGAGTGAGGGGGAAGCCCTCTGCTGCCTCAAGTTGGGTTAAGTATGTAAGGGCCAGAGAATAGATTTGAGAATGTAGCTAAGTGAAGAGAGAAAGACACAGTCTACAGTCAACTGTGCAGTTCACTTCTCTGGTTTATAGTGCTCCTGTGAAAGAAAGAGGATGAGAAGTGCCTGTGACCCCATCCATGAACCTATGCAGTCCATATTAGAGGAAATGAGCAAAATACTAGAGTTTTAAGGCTGTAGCACAAGGGATTCAAATCAATAAGCCTGGCAACACTGGCCAGAAATGCCACATGGGCAATTTGGACACAGAAGCCTACAGCTCAATCAATAGGATATGGAAGCCTGTAGCTCAGAAATAGAACCAGGTCACCAGAAGGGATTCAGTTCACATCCAGTGGAACAAAATAGTGCTGCAGGTAGCTTTTGATTTCCATTCTTTTGTTTAAGAAGCCAGTAAGAAACAGATGGAAATGGCTAGGCAACTTGGTGCTCTCGTTGTCTCCTGCAGGTCTTTGAATGGCATTATAGACCAGATGGAGAAGTTCTCCAGCAATCTGAATGATCTTGCCACCAAGGTGGAGGCCACTCACCACACTACCCACCAAGGTCTTGAGATGGGTGCTCGCCAAAGAGATGAACAGCTTAGGGGTATGTGCCTTTTGATGCCTGGGGCCCAAGTACAACTTGCTCCAGGGCAGCTCTTGCTCTTGCCTATTTCAATCTGGTTTTTTTAATGTATTAGACACTTTGAAGAAAATACATGAAGCAGTACAAAAGAGAACATGAAAAAAGTATAAAAGAATCTTATTTGTTTTATTTATTATCTGTATTATAGGCAAATAAACAATGGATTTTAAAATGTCATAGAGCTTATAGTGTTTTAATATGTCATTAAATAGTTGTAAATAGTTTTACAACTTAAACTAAAAATGAATAGCAAGAAGCAGGGCAGCACAATATAAATCACCAAACAGAATTATATGATGTAGTAAATTCAGTTCATATTACTAAAAATTAATTCTGATTTAAGGGTCTTGTAACATTGAAGTATAGATACTATGCATAGATAAACCCAAATTTTGAATTTGTTACCAATCCATGTATTAGATTATAGTCTTAGAATGTTTGATTTTGAGTTGAAATCTGTGTCACATTTGCTTTTAAGCTATAAAGCTATTCTAGACATTGAAGCTTGTTTCCACAACTTGGTCAGCCATTCTTCCATTGAAGGGATCAGGCCACCTTTCTAATAATCCCCCATTGCTGCCTACCATCCTGGGAAGGTGTGCTGCTGCCAGATGGTGATACCCTTATTTACTGGGTGCAGGGCATGTTAATTGGAAATGATTGGTGGATTCCTTCAGCTTTATTTCCCTCCCCATTGGCAGATGTCATCAGCTGGTGGGAAGGCATCCAGGAGTCACTCGGCTGGGGCTGGGACTGGAGGTGGGGCAGGGGCTGGGGGGGCTGGGGCAAGGGAGGAGGCAAGTTCTGACAGATGGCTATAAAACACTTCAGGGTTTGCCCAACTAACAGAACCAGATGCTGCAGGAGAGCTGGACAATGAAGCAGGAGGGTTTCCCCATTATATTGCACAACTCCCTTAGGATTAGAGACTTTGAAAGAATTTTAGCTGTTTCTCCTTGTGGATCATATGGCTAAGTAGCAAAAGAGCATTGTGTGATGTGTTGCGATGGATAGGATAGGATAGGATAGGATAGGATAGGATAGGATAGGATAGGATAGGATAGG